AACTTGATGTCATGGTGATCGAAATCTCTTAACAATAAAGTTTCTGATTGAGATCATGAACCAATTGATGTTAGACCAGCGTTGGAAACTTGGAAGCACTGGACAGCCGTTTCATCCTATTGTGGGGCTTCTCAGCAGTGTGCACCCACAATCCCGCCCGCAGTATTCGAACCCAGGACCTTCAGTCCCGCACGCAAACGCCTAACTTATTGAACCACTGAGCCGAAATCCAACGATGTTTATTTCTAACATCAACCAATCCATGAAATTGCGCGACAATCTTCCATTGTACTGAGGCAGATACCTGTGTCTACCCGACACAGATTAGCTCCACTGATCACGGCTTTTAATATAACTCCGAAAATTCCCTCACGAAGCTGGTCACTAAAAAGTACATGCTAATTATCAGCATAGGGGTTATGGAGATTATTAGGTTTTCGATTGAGATCATCAACCAATTGATATTAGACCACCGTTGGAAACCTGGAAGCACTGGACGGCCGTTTCGTACTATTGTGGGACTCCTCAGCAGTGCGCATCAACGATCCCACTCGCAGGATCCTGACTGTGGAATAAAATCTTTAATACAGCATCATATTTCTAAAGATTGTAGAGTGCTATATAGCATAAAAACTACATCTTTAGATATTGTGTTAGATCTCTTCAACCATCTAACAGGTTGATACAGTTTCTATATCTCTATCAGTCTACAAATAATCTAAATTTTAGTTTCATATGCTAGTAAATAATTTCGCATTTATTAAGCCTAATGAACTTACAGTGTAAAATGTAGTTCGATCGATTTCATTCCAATGTGACCTAGAAAGTTATTATTAGAAAATTGTCTATTAACGTTCAACTAATAACATTATTCAAGTTTCTATCTATAAAGTTCATTTTCTATACCATCGAAATACCATTATATGAAGTGTTGTTTAATTCAATTATAAATCATTATTAGGATTTTAAGTAGTCAACAAATAGTCGGAGCTTGTTCAGAAGAGATTTTCAACAGAATGTTGGATTATATGTGATATCCTCCATCTTCAGGACTGACAAGTTTTCTATCCTCTTCCAACTAAGATCAGTACTACCAATCAAGTACTTAACTGAATGTATTACTACTAGATATTTATTTCTCAAAAGTTGAAAAAAGCGCTTGTTAGTAATAGGTTAGGAAAATTTTAGAAGAATTGAGTTTGGCTATTTATTGGTCATCCTGAATGATTTTATGTTGTGTTATATCCTAGCGAAAAATAAAATACGAGTAACTTCCGAAAACTATTAATGGGCTAATATTATATGCATATTCCTATTATATAACTGTTCAGTAACTAGATTGTGTATATCTATATTCCTCTCATTATAAGCTTTAGTTTGATCTATAGATTATTATTGTACGATTTACTGTTCGTAAGCTATACTCAGTTTATTGACTACAGTCTCCCACGTTCATAGCCACTTACTAGCTGGATCCTGTATAAATGTTATTTCCTATTTTATGGTGTATTGTGGTCTGTTCGACTGGTATATGAACCAAGTATGTTTGAAATAAATGATTCGCATAGTAGAAGCTAGTGTTGGTGTTCTGGACTCAAGTGGACGGGCTAGAGGAACAATGGATCAATAAGGACGCTAGGCTATTCATACCGGTCGAACGTCATTGGTTTTGCACAGTGCGAATATTGTATAAGTCATATTTCGATTGGCAGATAAACCACATGATAACTAGCCGGGCTTAAAGTCACAACAGTATCTACTTAGTATTTTGTGTTCGAGAGATGTTAAGCAGCTTATAGTTCTGTTAGTTATATTTATTATATTGGAGATCATCAATGTCATGTTGTCGGTAAACTGAACGACTGGATGAGATTTAAAACTAGTAACACCATAATTAAAATTCACTAAGTATAATTATCCATTAACATATCATACATAGTAGATAATCTGCAAGAATAGAAACCAGCAAATTATTGGTATTTATATACGGAAAAAATAAAATAATACGTGTTATTTCTCGTTTGTAATTCAATGTTCGCAAAAATCATTACCATGAAATAAAGGCAGCATGATTTGTGAAAAGTAGTGAGTAAATATACGAAATCCAAGGTATTTAGCTGGTTTGTTTAAATCAAACTAACAACAGATTAATTACTTCACTAATATTTTTGAAAAACTATGATTTAAATGACTGATCATGAATAATTTTGTTTTAGTCATCATATATAACTAATTGTTTAGTTAATAACTTACGCCCGTTATACACCTAGTGTAGGAACATAAGTCGCTCATCAGCAGTCACCACCAAACTCGGTCCTGGGCAATCCATTCTTTTCATGTCTGCTTCCCATTTCCTACGCAGTGTATTCCTTCATATTCCTCTTCTAAGTTAGCAGTTTGATGATTTCCGTAATGTGTGTTCTATTCACTCTCAGCGTCTTTTTATAATTTCCTCTTCAACTCGAAGCTGATTTGTTATGTCTCACAGTAAATTGTTGCTGATGGTATTCACCCAACGGACAATGGGTATCTAGTATAGACAATTTCTTATAAATATTTGTACCTTCTTGATGATGGTTATAGCAGTTCTCCACGTTTCAGCTCCGTACAGTAAAACCGTCGTGATATTCGTAATAAAGATTCTAACTTTGATATTGGTTGACAATGGCTTTGAGTTTCATATGTCCCTTAACTATAAGAGTGCTGTCCTTGCTTTGCCAATCCTTGCTTTTACATCTGCATCAGATCCTCCATGTTCATCGATGACGCTGTCCAGATTCATGAACTCTTCCACATCTTTCAGGGTTTCTGCATCAAGTTTGATTGGGTTGTTCTCTGTGTTGTATTTGAGGATCTTGGTTTTCCCTTACGTGTGTTTTGAACAATACTGATACATAGGGAGTTAATGTATAGCGGCGTGTCCCATCCAATGCTATCCTTCACTTGCTTCCGTGTATTTAGCTTGTGCCTTCACTTTCTCTGCTCTTGATCGGCTGTTGTTAATTGTTTTCTTCTTGTTCTTTCTTTCTTGAATCTTGTTTGGGGTCTCCATAGAGACATTCTATTTAGTGATGCTTCTTGCCGAACAGAACCTCCTGACACGTTCAAGTTAATGCTACTTTGATCCCTTTTCAGTTGTCCTCCATAGTAGCTTCTTCTTTCAGTAGATCTTGTGAGGCTTGGAACTTGTTGTTGAGTTATCTTCAATTCGTTGAGCTTGTTAGTACCTCGAAAGATGACTGTGTTGAGCCGTTTTAATGCTGATTATGCATTTGTCCAATGCTTCTGTAGCTTCAGTTTCATGTTGGCAGCCACCGGGTGGTGGTCTGATGTTATATTAGCACCTCACCTTCTTCTCGCGTCTTCCGTTGTACTTCTGAAATTTTTGGTGATACAAATATAATCGATCTGGTTCTGTGATCCTGTGAGACCCATGTAATTTCGTGTATGCGTTCGTGGGGGAATACTATGCTGCCCATAACTGAGTTGGTGAGTGCATATAGGTTTGCAAGTCTCCCACTACTCTCGTTCCTTTCTTCCAGCCCATATCGTCCCATGATATCTTCATACCCGGTGTTGAACATTCCGACTTTGGCGTTTAGGTCTCCCACGACGACGATCAGGTACTTTTCTGGGCACTTCACTATGAACGATTGCAGCCTTTCGCAAAACTGATCCTTATCATCGTCGTTGCTGTCATTATTGGATGCATAACATTGGATAATATTCATTGTGATTCCATTCTTCTTTGTTTTGAATGACGCTCTGATGGCCCTGGATCCATGAGATTCCCATCCTGTAAGTGCATTGAGCGCTTCTTTGAACAACATCGGAGCAAATCCCTAGGTGTGCAGAGCATTTTCGTCTTTAGGACCGGAGCAGAGCAGCATCTCTTCCGTATATAGCCTTTGCTGTTCAACTTGGGTCCAATGGGTTTCGCTGATTCCGAGAACCGCCAAGTTGTACCTCCTCATTTGCGTTGCTATTCGGTGGCTGCTCCCGGTCTCATACATTGTGCGGACATTCCATGTACCTAGAAAAATTGTTCCTCTGGTTGTTAGGAGGGGAATCGGCCTTGTGACTTCTAAAGAATCTCGGGCTTCTTCGTGAGGCGTTAAAATTCTTCCTTGAACTCGGAGGGCAGAGTTTAAATGGATTAATTTGTTTATTCTGGTCACTTTCTTTTCCAAGGTTGTTTTCTGCAGGATGGGATTGAAGACCCCTACTCACTGCCTTCTCTCACCAGGGGTGTTGTTTACGAAATTGAGAGAACGAAAAGCGAATGCCAGGAGCTATAACCGGGTTGGTGGACATGGACAGTCCACCTAGGGGAGTTTGAAAACCCTGATTCCAAACCAATGGTGCACATGGGCTCCACGATCCTGAAGAAACTAATGGCGTAGGAACCAATCGTTGGTCATCGGCTACCATGGGACTGCATCTCCTTACGTCGCTCCACTGCATTGTGGATTAGACCTTTATGTCGAAGGCTCTGGGTTTGGCCCCCTAAGAAAACCACCTACTTCGGTCTGGGCAGCATTACAGCCCTCACATATATCAAATGAGATCTGTGTGGCGCATATATTTGGTGCCTCCTTGTACCAATATCTGTGTTAAAATAAATAAATAATAAATAAATGGTTTGTAACGGTGGGAAGCAGAAGGCGCATATAACTCATAAGGGACTCGTCAGATGCACGTATTTACCCCTTCATATTTACACATACTCGGATCCAGTTACTGAAAATCTTAAATCCAATGTATCACCTATGAAGTTGGTTAGTCCAGATAACTATTAACTTGTTCAGAGATGAAAATATTAATGACAGTTCGCACTTTTGTTATTAATGCTTAGAACTGTAATTAAAGTCTCTGATGCGTATCGTGAATGAGTGCCTCGACTTTGTCTTTTAGTTACCCGTATTTAGTATATTCGAATGACTAATTTCAGAAGAGTGACGAGTGTCGCTAAGTAAACTTGAAAAAGAACAGAAAAAGTAGTAAAATAAGTTATTAATATTTAAAGAAGTTGTTGCTACCAGTGTAATTGGAATAACAATAATAGTAATAAACACAAAAAACCTAGTCAGATAAATATAGCTCGTATGTACATGCTCATTAAGTCAGTGAACAACACAGAGGAGAAAAGTTACTGAAAATTGTGAACAGTATTGCCATCGGTTTAGTTATTATAATACTGTACAATTTTAGTGCGAGGAAAAAAGAGGAAGTAAAATAACATCAATATTCTTTTCATACAAATACGAGTAGTATAAAATGGTACAGGTTACAAATATATATATATATATATATATATATATATATATATAAATTGAAGGACTTGATAGAGTAAAGTAGAGAACTAACCATACATTATTAACATAGCAGTAGTTTTTACTGACAGCAGTCTGAAATAGTCTAACAGTGAACAGAAATACATGACAGTTGTTACTAGAGTGATTATTATGACTATGTGTATAGAAAAGAATCGCGAAATCTTTTCAACGACCCCAGCGTTGTTTGACCATCCCAAAACGACATACAATTTGATGGAAGTCAGACAGCCGAAGGCCTCGCACAGAAGGACATTGTCTAGCAACAAATTATCAACATAGATAACAAATAGAAAGAAAGTTTCAAAATTAACCCGACAAATTAGAGTTGAATAAATAACAACATAAATAACAACAAAAATTGATTTTTCAACAAGTCGAGTGTATATAGAAGACTCACTGACCAGTCAAGGCTTATGAGGTTCTAATGCTCTCAGCTTCATTGTAAGTGAAGTTAGAGCGAGTCTAAGCACGAAACAGATACTGAGGTGAAATGATTATCGATGCACAAACCTGCTGAAACAACAGGGACAATGCATGGAACTACTTAATTGTGCTCCAAAGGAAGTTTGGTAGTTTTGGAACTTTTTAGGAAATCACTGCTTACAACAATACAACAACCTTTACCATACTTAGTTTGTCTCAAGCACTCCAACATCTTAAAATCTCGCTGTCAACTCAAAACACCGGTGTTTCTGACTATTTCGAGGATTCAGTCTGTCACAGGCAACGTGGAGCAAGACATGAATGTTCGTTACTACATATAAACTAGCAAAGCGAAAAAATGAAAGCAGCACGACAAGAAGCAGAGGAATTGCTACAATGATACCAAAAAAATTTGAAAGCTATACATATAATGAAACAAAAAACATTTACATTATATGTGAAAATTATATTTGAAACAATCTCAGCGATTGAAATTCAAAAAATTCCAGCTGGTTTGATGGATGAAACGTCGGAATTATTTGGATTTCAATCGCTGAGATTATTTCAAATATAATTTTCGCATATAATGGCTTCTCTATACTCGGTGCCCAATTTTTGATGAATTATTCGTTCTAATATTGACGAATACACACAGAAACATTTACAGTTAGCTTATTCATACTTTCCGAACTTCACGAATCAGTAGGTTTCTAATCATTTTAAATGTATAAGCCGCTTAATGAGAACCAAATCCCCTAGACTTAGTCAAGTGTGGGGTCCTAGATGTGCATTGTAATAACGAACGACAGGAAATCAAATATAAATGAGTTACTGAAGAGAAAGTCAAATAGGTCCCTTGCTTAACTTGAACTGTTTAGCTGAAACGCTTCTATCGTCTTTGTGGACAACAACGCACACTGTATGCCGAAGAGTGACTTAAAAAAAGGATTTCACGATTAGTTTATGATTATTCCCGATCGCTGATGTCAGTCATCCCGAAATCTAGGAAAGATTAAATGCCCAGATATTTGAGCAATACTGATGATCTCATTAGTATTTCGTTGGGCTAAAATTCAACACTAACATGGATATTGTCAGTATGCAATACATGTTTCATTTATCCTAGTTCAATAATTAACAAATTAATGACTAGTTACTAAACCGACACCGAACTTCGGAATAGTGTCTTCTGACTTTCACTATAGGAGTGCAATGCTCCCTAAATAGCAATCGACTATATTTGACTGATTCATGAAGACTGGGATAAAAAAATGACTAATAAACAGAAAGTAAATCTGTTGTCTGAACTGATCGTTAGAACAATATGCAAAAGTCGAAGAAAAGGAGACGGTAGAGAGTGAATCTGAGCCACAATTACTAATTTAAAACCCTATTATGCAAAATCATCAACTAAAGATTTTAGCTATTGAGCTTCCAAATATTATGTAGTCTGCATTCATCGACATCACAGATTAACGACACATTTAATTGGAACGTGGTCTTAATTATGACTCAACTGTGCTTTAAAATATACAGTGTACGTATAAAGAGTGGTCGAGTAGAACAAAAGGTCTGAACTACTTTAGACGAATATTCATGACATCTTACTGAACGCTTAACGTTAATAAGTACGAAATATGAACTCTAAGACCACTAGTACATACATGAACTCCGAAAACCGACTTTGCCATGGCAAAAGACCAGAGAAACTTGAAGACAATCCACAGTGAATAGTGAGGTCAACATCTGGAACTTTAGTTAATTCTAAAAATAAGGTTAAACATTGAGTGAACAGACCAGCAATCGTTTGGTTGACCTTTTCATCCGTAAGAGTACTGGCAGATGTGCTTAAGTAACGTGCAGACTGACATATCTGATCAAATCCATCATCACAACCAAGATAGTTCACAGTGATTTTTGACAGTACTGTAGATGGTGTAAAGACATGAATTCGGAGTGATTACCACGACTCAAAGGACTGTATATGACAGAAGATTTGGCTTCCTTGTTCTTCTTTACAGAATAGTTTTTTTCTTTGATAAACTGTTCAACACTATCTCTTAGATGCAAAATATTGCCTTCAAACATTAGCTCATTATTTCAGCTCACCCTTCATATCAGACAGTGAAAGGTACGAAACACCGATCGCTGAGCACCATATTACCAAATTTGCAATATCTTGTGCAGAGAATATTTCCTCAAAAATCACAAATGATATATGTTGTGGTATTTTCGGTAACTTCGTATGATTTTTTTCAAGATCAGACCAGGAAGACTGAAAATAGGCACTCAAGGAAGACTTTAATAGAAGCAGCTGGAGGATCTTAAGGACGAATATTTTTAGCTTATACACAAAAGTGATAAGTGCAAGAATCATGATTGCAGTTCCTCATGAACGTTACGCAGATATTTGAATATCCCCTTGATTACCAGGCGTCTATACCCAACATCCAATATCTCCGTGATCCTTTTAAAAACCATTCTTAGTTTAGGCTTGCTCATCGTTGTTTCAATGCAGCTTTAGATCTTTGTGATGTCCAGTAGGTGATTGTCTTTCCACTCGACTGAACAAGTTCGAGTCACTTTGATGGTTATTTGTGAGTTCGTCAAAATACAATAAGGATTCTGAAAGCACATATTTTCCTATTACAATCTAGAAAGTTGAGCAGCTAAAATGTGCAAAGTGAAGAAAATACATGGAGAAAATGGGAGACGATTATCTGAGGAATACAGGTTGAGCTTATCCAAGACTCTCGCTATTCTAGAACATATGTTTTCACCTATATGTATTCGATACAACCTCCGAATAACTACCAGGTTTACAAGCATGAGCCCTGTTGAGTCAACCAGCCGAAGGATGAGTGCATCCGCACTTAACAATGTCAATGGCTCGGAATTTTATCTCGACACCAATAATTGAGGGCAAATAGGTAAGTTGTTCTACATAAGTCCATCACAAAGATGTACAAAGAGTGAACACATGACAAAGGTTAGTGGTACACTTGAGGAAGCTTGTCGATAAATTAAATCCAGACGTGTTAGTGACTGTAGTATTAGCATACTGTATTCCATACTGTCTTGCTGACGACTTTGTCTTAAATGATGTTTGTTCTTGGAGTGAGGCTGCTTGTCATTGCATTGTCGGAGATTTCAACACGCTACTCATCAACAGGATAAAGCTGACAGCTTGACGTCAATGTTTTGATGGGGTCCTGCTGTAGACCATTATTCAGTGTGCACTTGTACGAAGTTTCGCAAAACCGATTCGTATTGACTTAGGAAGTCAACTACCATTGCTGAACCTCGCTATTGCACACCATTGTAATGATGTCATCAAAACCCAGGACCAGTTCTCATTAGCGACCAGTGCTCACTTTGTACTGCACGTTAGGTTTCAGACATATAAATTACGGTATGATCTCCTCCACCTCGTCCAAATGTCTGACGGGCTAACATTCTAGTAATCAGACACTGTCCTATCTTAGAAAATTGGTCAGTCAGTGTATATTTATTGATTGATGACCAATCGAAGATTTGTAAAGTCACGCTCCAATCAGTAACATTAACGTCCATTTTATGGTCAACACGTAAGACAGCGCATTGCTTGCCATGGGTTGATAATGAAAATCGAAGTCTTCCAAGAGGTAGAAAACACTTATGAAACTTGTTCTTCCTAAGAAGCCATCAATTATTTGGGTTTGATATGACACCGTCATTAGCGTTGCATGAAGCTCCATGTGAACTAGCTTAATCAGATATGGTCAGCGAAGTCCAGCATAAGGTAATTGTTAACAACGATCCTCATTACTAGCTGTAGGGCCCAGGCATGTACTATAGGAGATTTTCTTCAACTACTTATTAACTTCAAGACTTTTAAATTGCCGGGTCTTGGTGGCCTACATTAACAAACCCTATCATCCCTCGCAGACACTACTTCACAGCTATATACGGTACTGTTCAACATATCCCTTTTCCGAACTCAACCTCCTAGGGATTTGAATGATGCAATAGTTAATGCTATATTAAATATGAAAAGATATACATGATGTCAGCATAGCGGCTAAGTTACTTGAGAAAAATTGGCTAATTTACTAAGTAAATTGGAAACATACACTCTGTTAACTCCTGAGCAACGCTCGTTCATGCCTTGTTCAGGATACTGACGCACTCAGGAACACGATCAAAGAGGAACTGAACTTGCAATGGAGAAAAGGTACGATGATTAGCACAGCACCTACGACATACTATCCTTACTACTGATTATTGCTAACTGAAATTGGGTATTGGACGTTGTCTACACTTTCAACATATTCGGTACATTTAGTTGTTTCAAGATGAATCAATTCCAAATCCTAGTTGCTGCATAATGCAACCTTCGTGATTATAGAGCACAACATATGAATCAGAACTCTTCGGAATCGTTGTTACAAAGTGCAGATGGAAAACTTACCATCGGTATGCATCTTGGTTTTCTTTTAAGTTTTTATTGGAATTATTTTGTTTCGCACACTATAAATGATATTCACATCATTCGAATTTTTTGTTTAGAGGAAAAAACATTCAATGTACATCAATATACTGGATATTACCATCATCAATATTTTCATTTCGTTCTTGCGTCATTACGTAGACTTTCCATAATATGTTGATGTCTGTGCCATTTTAGTCTGGTGGATGTGTCCCATATCTTTAATTGCATATGTATGATGATTAGGAGTATTTGAATCATAGTACGAACTAGGAATCCCAGAAGTAACGTAATCGGATCAAGAAGTACTAGATAAGCACGAACGAATGTACTGTATTTGGAATTCGAAATCGAGCATTCAACAAGTACAAAAGAACCATTAGTTCATTCACACCACAGTATGCCTGGAGCTTATATAGGATTTGACCGTCTTTCAGAAACCACAGACACTAAGCTTCATCATATTTGATCTAAAGTGTAAAATACTGGTCAAGTGTTTTTAGTAGCTTATAGGTTTGAATGATAAATCAGCCCAATTGGAAAAGTCGAAAGATGACATGAACATTTAAACTCGTAGAGCAGGTGAATAAAACCTTTGGTATATTTTATGCATTCACTCCAAATTTTTATGTATATTCTACGATGCCTAGTCTTATTTCGCCAAAGTGAACTTACCCGATATTTCTTTCCACCTATTTTGAATGTGGTAGCTAATCTCCCTGTATTCATCTACCAGTTACAGATGTACTGGACTTTGTTTCGTACATCCTTTGTGAAAACCAGTGATTCTATCTTGTTGCCTCATTTAATTGAAATACTTAGTCCGAAAATTCTCAATATCGTAACGAAATCCCTATTTTGTAGTTGTCCTTGCGTTCTTGATTCTATACATAACTTATGCTTCTAAATCAAAAACCTCTTTCAGACAGTATTTTATATTATCTTAGGATCTATTTGTCAATATATAGATATATAAATTTACGCTTTCCTCCTAAAATATGAGTAGACATATTTTTTACGAATTTTAATATTGATTCATCTATTTTAGGTTGTCCTTAATGTTAGTAAATAGTTGTGAACTAATCCACAAAACCCCTTGTGACATTAATAGGAAACATTCAATTTTTCTTGGGTTTTGTTTATCCAGAGTACCATTGTGATTGTTTTGTTTCATCAACAGAATTAAGTTTTCTTAATTTTATGATTTCTTTGCTATTTGGAACATTACATAGATAAGGGTAATAAGTTTAAGCTTCCATATAGCCATATATAAGACTTCATTTCATTCTAGTAGTTTATTTTATTCCTTTCCTCTTATGATATTAAAACGACTATTAAGTCCAGAATATGTCATGGATCTATCATCTTTCAGGTTTCTTTCTCTTAAGTAGGGCCGAAGAAAGTAGAGCCTTTTGATTTACAACCTCTTTACTGTACGAGTAACCGAATCTTTGCTCCTTGATGACAATTCTGGTGTTCTGTGGTACATCTTCATTGTAAACATACATCAATACCTTAGTTTTTTTCATAGCAAAATCCATGGTTTTAACCTCGTGATCAGAAAAGGCTTTTGTATATAGTTCCCACCGGTTATCAGTTGAACAAGTAGTTAATGAAAGCCACTACGCGAGTCGTAAAGTTCTGTTAACTCGTGTGACATTGTGCTTAAATTTTTAAAATCGTATTTCTGATAGTTATCTTGAAAAGTATCGTCTGAACTTCCTTGACCCACTTCTTAACATACGAACTAGGACTTCAGCCTTCATGTCACTAGAAGAAATTTATTCACATTCAAGCAATAAGTTATTTAGTTATATGTTTTGTGAGTATGAGGTAGTAGCATATTCAATGTTCTAAAAAGTTTGATAGAGGTTTCTGAATAAAAGGTTATAAATCGTTGCCATTCATTATTAGATTTAGTGTTCAGTGGTATGTTTTTGTACTACATTCATAAACCGAGTTCTAGTCATGAGCATGCTTTGAACCGCCACGTATGTTTCTCTGCGAATGTATTTGTATATGAGTAAACAGCACACTTTCGAAGCTTAGTTGACTGGTCCTTAAGATCGTTTAAGTATTAACTCGTGTTTTCGGGAAATATCTGATATGATCTGAAAACATTTTTATGTCGTTTCTTCACATCAACCTAAAATACTTATTTTAAATGAAACATTTTATGTTACATATTTGATTACTTTTTCAACTTTCACATTTAGACAATCAAGTTTCAGACCATGGCAACATGAATTCGATTCCTTCCGTTTATAGAAAGAATTTATCTGTTTCATCTTATCCACAAGAAACACTGAACAAAGAAACCGTTCACATCAATTTAGATCCTAATACAGCGCCTGCTCGATACCGTGGCATTCGTGATTTAGATTTAAATTCGTGGGATGACGAAGCAGCGGGGAAATTACGTGTATCATTTCTTCCTTCTGGAGATTTATACGACTTTTTATCTCCGTGTAGACGTTCTCTTGGCCTTCGTGCCGTTACTCGCTCTGTAAATTCGCGGCCTCTTAAACGAACATTAGGTGTTATCTGGTTTGTTAACGATTGTTGTGGGATTACTTGTATTTTTATCACTTGGCTACTTATTCTGTATGCAGAGTTTGTAATAGACTTCATAATACTAAGTCACTCTCCATCACATGCCTTTTACTGGACTAGTGGAACGATTTATCATTTGTTTGCCATCCTGGCAGTAGTTTCCCATTTCAAAGCATTCAGCACAGACCCAGTAAGTTATTAACCACTGTTTTATTGTCTACAGTGTACTGTAATCGTTTTTTTTTGTTGAAAACTACCAATAAGCTAATTGTTACATAATCTGGGACTCTAATGTTCTTTAATATCAGCATTATTAATCTATTGGTTGATACAGACTCAATGTTTGCCGGTATGAGTGCATGCTGGTTCACTTGGTGCTTAAGAGTAGGAATTTGAATGGTCAACCTTATATACTGCATTTATTTTTATAAGGATTAGTTCTCGTACTGATGTTCTAACCTCTAATTGTATGGTTCAGATATCCATCTGAGCTTTATCATTTGTGTTTAGCCTAGTAATATTCTCTCCTGAACTGTACTTCTACGAAATAATCATTAGCGTTATAGGTCTGTGATATGAAGTGACAATGGATATTTGACTACAAGTCCGAGTGAATCCTGTTAAGTCGTGAAATGATTAAATAAAACATTCGGTTGAGATTTTAACATCTGGTGACATTTTAGCGCATGTCAAAATAAGAAACTAGATTAAGAAAGTGTCAGTATAACCAGCTGATTTTGTAATGTTATTGTCTTGTAACTCAAATTTAAGTTATTATTAATTTACTGATTGCGATTGAAGAGATATACAAAGGCTATGATTGGATATGTTTATTAACATGCTTCGAAGTTGATATTTGTTGTTTTGTTGGATCCGACTTCCAATTTATTAAAGCTAGTGATCATTCTGTTAATTTCTTCTCTTGTTTTATTCGTGTGTGGTGTAACAATTTGAAATGATATCCATTCCTGTTACCTCGTACGTATGATCGACCGATGATCATTTTCCCATCTTATGTTTGCCGATTTTCTCTCACTTTTGATAAATCAACTTAACGCAACATTGTGCTTAATTTTAATACCTGAAATAGAAGCATTCTTATACAAATATCAATTACATTCCTGACAATAAGGATGAAGTAACTAAAAGCTTAGTAGAACAAATAATATTTTTACTACTTATTTAGCAGTCAGTTAAAAGATTGAAATCAGCTGCATATCAAGTGATACATAAAGAGGTGGTCGAAAGATTTGACACCAAACTTTTGTGAAACCATAAATGGACTACATTGTACTTCGGTACCACTAAAAGGTACAATCTATATAGAATCCTAACCGAGTTGTATTTGTTAGAAGAGTTATACAACAATGTAACGTGTCAAAGTTCGTTTATGGAAATCTAAGTTTTCAATTAAGTGAATGCATATTCCATAAATAGTGCAAAAATGTTTTCTGTCTTCTGTTAACTTGTAGTTATAACCATTATACACTGAAGTAAAAACCCTAATAATAGTTGTTTTTCCCTTCGTGCAATCTACGAAGTTAACCAAAATCTGGCTGGTTGGATGTTTAGTATGAGCTTGTCAGCAGTGGATTTGATCTTTGAGACAAATTAGTTAAAGTGCCTTCAAACTTTGATTCTTTTCCAACTACATAAAATAATGTAGTGTAATGAATCATTTCCATATATATATGTAAACCTATATGATATGTAATTATTAACTGGCCGGTTTTCAATATAGCAAAGTGTCTTCGGTGACCATACATTTCATGTTTTAGTGACAGTAAGCGTTGTTTCTGTTATTTACCGAACAAATAAGATAAATTCACTTCACCACTACCAGATATGCAGTCTTTTATGTCAAGCCATTTAAACAAAGTGATTTCATGCAGAGTGTAATGAAGAATCAGTTGTAGGTCAACTGTACCATGACTAATGTTGCCATATTTTATTGAAATGAACGTAACTACTTTCTGATTACTATGATATATATGTCCTCTTTAGGTTTGCTATCAATATTAATAATCATATTCTCTGGAAACGCTTCACAACATTGAACGCCACCAATTACTTGGGTTGCTTAGTGATAAAATACCCTGTTATCTGAAGATAGTGAATACCATTTACAAAATGTATAAACCTTGTACTGTATACAGCTACCCGTGATTCGACGCGGACCGTGACCACTTATCTGTAATTATTCTGGTTGGGTACCAATGCCATGTTTTTTGAGTCCTTAGTGGTGGTCGAACTCTATAGATTGGGTTGCTATATGACCACCAGTCCAAGTCAATCAACATCGTATGCAGTATGCTTTAATGTTTGTCGACTGAACGTACTCAGTAGGAATCTATGGGTCTAATTCCCATTCTGATTCCCACTTGTCAGCAAAGCGTACTCGGAGTCATGAGGAAACTTCTCTCTCTGGGATTCGCATTCGCGTCACTTAGCTCTACAGTGTGAGATATTACTATCAGAAATATTTTTAGTCATTTATTTAATCTTTTTCTCCTTTCCATTTTAAATTGTTTATAAGGGTAGCATCCCAATCGGTGCAGCAAATCAGGCATTTGCAAAATGTTTACAACAGTATTCTTCTTATTTATCTGCCCCTCCTATACGTTGCACAAAGTGCCTTACTATTAAACCTATTCGTGCCCATCATTGTCGGTAAGTATATGTTATCTGTAATATTTTAATTGATTGAAACATTCTGACTTCATTTGTTTTTTTTCACGGCTACAATAAGTTGTATCTTAAAGATGCACTGTCAACTGGTTTACAAAAGGCTGATAGTTTAGCAAAGAATAAGATGAGGATTTATGTGAGCTAAGCTGTACGTGGATTATTTTGCATAAAAGCTTATTTTTACTATCCAGCTGATCTCTTCCAGATTGAAAATTCAAAGCGTTGGGTAAAACATTGAACTGTTAAAATAAATAAATATATTGCTGATCAACAGTTAGCGCACAATAATACAATACGGCTGAGTAGTAGCTGCTCACGAGACCAGATTCTCAGTGAAAACTACCTAATGATTTTTTCCTCATCCGTAAAATTACTTTTTTTTCTACAAACTATTAAACACAGAAACAAACAGTATTAAAAGTCAATTTCAATGAACCATGATATCGCATCAAATGTTAACAAAAATATGAGATATAACTCACAGTGTTAATACAAAAAAGAATTGGATAGTTATTATATAGAGGAGTAAATACTTCACTGCACCTCAACATGTCCACAATAAGGCGGGATATTTTGAAATTCCACTAAATTTTATCATTCCATAAGATATGAAACTCACCTTTTTTGTTATAGATATTGTATTTTGGCAGCCTCATTCATTTTTTAGAAATAATAATTTATAATACTGTCGGTTATCTTACCCTTTTGAAAGTATATTTTAGACTTTTAAACCAGCTAGTCTAATGTGAGTAAACTCAATAATTTACTGATTTTATCATCTGTTTAAGTTTTAAAATCAGGTATTATTATTGACAAAAATTTAACACCTAGTCCCTGATACAATAACTTATATTTTGCCGATGAATTACATTTATTTCTTGTCATGTAGCTTTCCGGATCGAAATGTACCGTAAACAAATGCAGATCAGTTTTGTTTTACAAGTATTTTTTAATAGTTTTTGATTGTATTAAGCAACGACAAACATCAAGTTTCTCATTCTTCAATAGTATTCTCTTTTGTATTAATGCCATTTAGCTAAACATTAACAATTAAACGGATCCAATACACTAACCAAGTTTAGGTTTATTTACTTGACTTCGAGATTCAATTTTTTGATATTGTAGTATTACTTGATTACCCAAACTTAAACTCATAAGGTAGGATTCGAGCTGACAAACTATTAGTTGAAAAGAAAATAATAATATATTCTGAAAATAATGATTACAGAATTTACGCCTGTCTACAGGCCTGATCAATTTGATATAAATAGTAACATTAGAACAAACATGTGATATAAGATTGTTCTAAGTTTACTAGTTCAATAATTGTTTAGGTAGTACATTTATGACATGTATTACAGCAATCCAATGCATCATCCGGGAAGCTTCATAGTCAAATAACTATAGTTATACTGAATTTCCAGTTCGTATATCTGTTGTATCATGCGATCCACTGTATCAATACCGTTATGTAATTTGTAGTCATAAAAGCTGAGACTTGAAATGTCAGATATAATGTTTTGAAAATAGATAAATAAAATGTAGTGTAATTTGGATCTTAGTAGCAAATGGTTCAATAATAACCATTAAATTGACCCCCTCGTCTTTACTATCATTGTAGTACTTGTTTCCCAGTTGGTTGATCTCTCTATACGCCTATTAAATGTTGGTTGGTTTTATCTTAAAATTTTCATTTTCCTCATCATTTTAAGTTTAAGGAGATATTTTAAGTCACCTTATGTTGTTAAAAAAGACCAGGAACCATATTATCAGTGTTAATGTTATTCAAGCTATCCTTTTTCTTTGCCAAACTAAATCAAGTCTGTGTATTTTAATCTTTTGTTTCAGTTGTTCATGTCTGGATAAATAATAATGAAAATAACAGTTGAGGATTCATTAATAAGATAGAAATCATTCCATTAAGAACACAAACCAATACATAATTTAGACAACTTATTAAAAACATGGAAACACTGGACAACCGTTTCGTCTTAGTATGTAAGTCTTACAAAGAGCCCATCTATGACCGCACTTCAGGAGATTAAATCTAAGACCTTCGGTTACGCGCGTGAACACCTAACCTCTAGACCACTGAGCCTGTATCCAATGGTGTACATGTCTACCTTCGATCAATTCATCAAATCATTTTAATACGGTTTATAGTTTGAGCATACTATTAGATTTGTATATTCTTTAAATCATTCGAAACATTATTCCTGTGTGCCTATTTTCGAATTTTCTTGTTGTGACTCAGTTGCAAATGACACTTTGAACCGATACATGATAATCTTGCAGTTCTATATTATTTCATTGTTCATTAGTGAAGTTGGTTCAGGGATTAATTCATAGGTTCAAACTATCAATTACTTCAGTTTGAGAAGTTGCTTAGCATCACTTGATCTTACATTTAAAGTCTGCTTGAAATCAAATACATGAATATGTACCTGGTAAATGAGCTGTTTTCCTTGTTCATTAATCTCTCGATATTATATAGTCTTACCAGAGTAAATAGTAACTTGTCATCAAAATAAGAGTATTCAAGTTACATTATGTCAAAATAGTAGTTGTATGCTTTTCAATCATAACTTAATTGATTTCAGTCATTCACCAATAATTGTTGTCTTTAAGCTAGGCAATGAGTATGTCTTAGTTTTCAGTTGTGTGTGTATTCACATCTAAATGAAAGATACAACCGGTGTATTTATATATTGAAGTTGGTAAACAAATGACAGAGTATCTTATTACATTTTGTAACTACCTTTTAACCAATATTTTCGTGAACTATATGAAAAAATAGTCTTAAATGGCTCATAAAAAACCGAACATAACCATGCCTATATATAAGCGCTGAAGATTTTGTCCAAAATGGCGATTAAGGCTCAAATTAAATCACCGAGTTAATAAAACACAGCAAGATCAAAGGCATCCACCTGAACTGAAACTCCTTTCTACCATTTTAGGCAGATTCATGCGTATATATGTATTGTCTTGTCTACTCAACTTTCATCTTATCTGTGATTTTAAAATAAGATATAACAGCTTAATGTTAAACTAATTAATCGACCGTTATCATTTGAAAGAGCGAGCATTGGAAAGAGAAATACGGTTTTTAAGGTTGTTTGTCTGTTTGCTTCTACAATAAATCAAAAACGTTTTCTAAACGTCTAATGAGAAGTCCACATTCAATAGATAATGTAATTTTTCGAGTTTGATAACAATTTGTTATTCTGATTACCTCAGTTATGCTATATCATACGTCTATTTCAAATAGCTAAGAGATAATGTATTTAGAGAGATTTTTTTAATGCATCTTTTTTTAAAGTTAGAAAGTCGTACTCAGTATTCTTTATTATATGTATTACCAAAAACATTGTACTTTGTGCTATTCCAAAAAAACTTAATGAACCTTGATTCTGTAGATTGTTGACATCCATGATAATGAGTCAAATGACTAAGTTTTCTTTAATATTAATTAGATGAACAGGTGAAACTTATTAGGTATATCTAATGTGTTTATTATTATTATTATTATTATTATTATTATCATTACTAATTAACAAATAATTATAAAGTATTTATATAAGTCAGGTTATTAATTATTTCAGTCAAAATCATAATCAAATTTACGTTTGACAAGTAGAAATGTTTAAACAGTTTCACAAACTAGTTATATTAAATAACAAATTCAACTACATTATAATAATATCTTTAAAAAATAATTTTGTTTCAGAGGTGATAGTAATTCAACAGTTCATATTAGAGTTATACATACAAAAGTATCAAGTGTAATGTTGTCATGATATTATATCTCTAACATCTAATATTTTATACACAGTATATTAATTATTAATACTTTCTTTTAATGTTTTTAATTACTTGTTATTATCACTCTCATGTTTTGTTTTGTTTTCAGAATTTGTTCTTCATTTTGTTCATACTCGTTAAGTAGACAATTATTCTTCTTCTTCACATATTTCGTTTTATCTTATTATTATTCTTTGACTTTTCGATCATTTACGCAACCTTATTTTGAATCTTTAAATTATATATACAAATATTCATCAAGATTAGAATGAATAGTTTGATAAAAATTGGGCGCCGAGTATAGAGAACTCATTATATCTGGAAATTATATTTGAAATAATTCCAACGTTTTGTCCAGCTAACTTGTTTGAACTTCATCAGGGTAATAATCAGAATCATCAAAGAAATATGTAGCGTTTTAACAATCAAATCTATGCTGTGTTATTCCAATCATATTTGGATGTAGATTGCTAGTAAATAGGATAGGATATTATACATTATTCTTTACATGTTTTTTTTCTCTTGACAGACTACTTCATTTTTTAAATTATTAGTAATAAGACTGGATGGCTTGTGGAAGTATCATCATTGGAAAGGTTTTTCTTGCTTAATTTCCTTTAGTTGTTTTAACAAGAATTGTTTTTACAATCTTTTGCTTGGAAATTGAATATGATAGATTATTTCTCTTTTAAAAAACTAATCTATCGATACTACAATGATCAAAACTGCTTTGTTATTGGGGTCTAATTAAACATTGCCATTGAGCCTAGTAAATCTTTTTTTAAAATTTCATTTATTAGAGAAAGAACTTTTCCATTGTTTTTAATACCATGATATTCCAAGTGTGGGAAGTTAACATCTAGTTCATCGAATGAGAAGACTGCAAGCCTTAGTCACATTTGAAATTCAAACCTCAACCCCTCACGTTGATAACTCTTTAGGTTAAAAGTTTGTATTGGTAATACATTAAAATAATCCTATTAATGTATTTACTAAGTATAATCATTTAGAAGGAAGCATCTGAAAGGGACGTTATCAACTTAATATAGATCCAAATGTTATATGCATTTTAAAATTTTTATCACATAGTTTAGCATGTCTAGATATGTAAATTCAAATTTCATGCTATCCCACGTAAGTAATCTAATGTCATTCTGCTTCTGTAGTCTTCTGCGACC